ATTACTCTAATCTATCTCTAGCTCCATTTTCCATCACTTTACCCATAAGAAATAAACATTTTCTTTCTGTGTTATTCAAGGATGTATTAGGAAGAAAATAGGAAAAATCAGAATGCTGTACTTCTATTAAACAGCGCACCCTTGTGGTTTCTCTGACAACCTACACAAGAAAAATTGCAGGGAAAGAGGGTATCTAAAATTCTTTGTGGACTTAGAACTGATCCTGTCACTTATTTTTTTTTCTATTTATATTTTTTCCAAGTATTCCATTAAAATGATGCCTTTTTAAATTTTCAAATTTAAATTGTTAAAATAGTTATAAAAGGTCTACAGTGATGATGACTATCTTTGATTTTAAATTTAAAGCAAGCAAGTAGTAAAGTAAGTAAAATTTACACCTAAATGTATATACTCTGTTGAATTTCTTGTATATCTGCATCTGGCGATGTAAACAACTTAAATTCAAGACTTAATTCTATTTATACGCATTATGTAATATACATTACATTTTAGATGTTGGTCCTTAAACTTTCAAATATAACCTTGCCAAACTTCTGGCATTTCTGTAAAGTTTATTTAAGAGAAAACGCTGGTAACAATTATGTAGACCAACTGCTACAAAAGTGAATGTATGCGATTTTTAAGTTACCTAAGAACTTATTCTGTTATGGTTTGAAGTATGATAGACATTCTCATTGTATATACTGTATCGAACCGTGTGACTCTCAAGGAGATGGACTGACACAGTGGCTGCAACAGTGGGCTCAAACACAGCAACAACGGTGAGGATGGCACAGAACAGGGCAGTGTTTTGTTCTGTTGCACACAGGGTCGTTATGAATCAGAGCCAACTTGATGGCACCTAAAAACAACTTATCAATTATCTTGAATACCTATTATAGTACAGAGTTTTGCAAGAGAACACAATTCCTGCTTTCTGGATGGGGAGAGAAAAAAGGGAAGATTTAACAGCATTACAAGCTTTAAACAATAATACAACCTTAATGTTTATCTCCAGAAAACAGGATAAGTTTCTCATATTACATCCATCAATGTAATACTATGTAGCCTTTAAAAAGGGGAAGCCCCTTCTATACTGATAAGAATCTTCCCAATAACATATATCAATACCAAGAAGTGAGATATAGTATATATAGCATATGACCATCTGGGGGAAAAATAATACATAACACAAATATTTGTTTGAATATGTATGCATTGTCTCTGAAAGGATACCAAAAAATTGCTAATATGGCTGCTTTTGGCTAGTGGTAGGGCAGAGACTTTTTGCTGTATTTTCCTTTTCATCTTTAGAATTTTATATCATGTGAATATACTACCTATACAAGTGTATAAATCAAACAAACAAAATGAAAAAGCACGAGAGACAAATTCACAGAAAGTAAAGATAACTGTGCCAGAAAATTTAGAAAATTCTCATGGAGTAGGAAAAACAACAGGTATAATCTGAATAGGTGAGTAGGGATGAAGATAGAGGACAGAGGTGGAGTCACTCATTCTAAAAGGAGAAGCAGGAAGATTTTGCATGAGAAACAATGAGTCAAGTCTTCTGGTTAGAGTTCTAAGCATGCCGAGCATTATAATTAAAATTTACAAATAAAATTGTCATCAATTTATGGATGACCTTGAGTGTCAAGAAAACAACAGCCAGCTATCCAAGATTTCTGAACTGGGATGTGATAATAAAGAAATACAAATCTTCCAGCCACATTCAGAGTATTCTGAACAGAGAAGTGGAGAAGCAAGTTCTCATTCTCTCAAACTTTGCCCTGGATCTCTCTTGGCATGTCTATAGCAGGAGGAATGGAGGGAAGGATGAGGAGACATTATAAAGGCAGATTGAGTGAAGGATTAGTCACTGCCTGGATGTGAAAAGAAAAAGAACACATCAAAGATGATCTTGAACTTTTCAATCTGGGAGGAAAAAAAACATGAATTCGGTTTCAAATATTCTGAGTTCCAGACAGTGATGAGTCAATAAGCAAGAGGGAGTTCAACTGCAATTGGAAAAATATTGGGATTGGAATTACAAAGCTGAGAACAATCAGTACATGAATTCACATAGATGTCTTTTCAGAAGTTATAGGCTAAGACCAAGGATCTGAATATTCCTGGTGGTGCAAATGGTTAAGCGCTCGGCTGCTCACCGAAAGGCTGGCAGTTCGAATCCACCTAGCAGCTCTGCAGGAGAAAGATCTGGTGATTTACTTCTGAAAAGATTAAAGCTAAGAAAACCCTATGGAGCAGTTCTGCTCTGTCACATGGGGTTGCTATGAGTCGAAATCGACTCAATGGCACCCAGTCACAACAAATTTAGAAAATGGGTAAAGGAAGTAGGGCAGGAAAAAAATTAGAAAAGAGACCTGAGATAAAAGAAGGGAATCAGGACCAAGGGAGAGAAAAAATCAAGGCTGAGGGGCAATCAACCACATCAAATACTGCCAAGAAATTAGTAAGTGCTGAGATGAATTTTAAGGCACAAGATCACATGTTCAAGCAGGTACACATGCACACACACACACACACATTCACAAAATAGGACCACAGCTTAATAATTAAAAATTTTTGTAATAAATAAATTTAAAAAATGGCTCTTCAGCTTCTCTAGGGAAAAATAAGTATTTCTGGGTCCTACTGAACAATATATCAAAGAACTATCCAGATGTCCAGATCAAAAGAAAAAAAATAATTAGAAAATTACATAAGATGTGTAATTTGCCAAAGGCAACATATTAAAAAAAGATTACTTAACATGAGGGCACCAATCAGTCATAGAGCAGAGGGTGAAAATAAAAAAAACAGTTTTTGGTGAGGTCATTGGTAGTGCAACCTAGAATTCAAACAGCAGACTATTACAAAGACAACATAGACCTCTTGGGGCTCCTAGCACAAAGGACATTTCCTGGGAACAGATTGGGTGAGGATAGCTGGGATAAAGATTTGAGAGCAGAGGCTAACAGTTAGTTCTATATAAAGAAAAAAATGGACTTTGGTAGCTACAAATCTGTCTTGGAAGAAGTACAACCAGAATGCACCTTAGAAGTAAGGATGACAAGACTTCATCTCATGTACTTTGGACATGTTATTAGGAGGGACCAGTCCCTGTACAAGGGAAGACCCTCAACAAGATGGATTGACACAATGCGCTCAAACACAGCAACGACTGTAAGGATGGCGCAGGACCAGGTAGTGTTTCATTCTGTTGTACACAGGGTCACTACGAGTCTGAACCAACTCAACAGCACCTAACAACAACCACAAGCTACTTAAAAGTACAATAATTTACAGTTTTCTGCAAATTAAAAATATAAAACAATCCGGAAAGTGCAACTTTTTAAATGACTTACTATGAAGAAATTTAAAGGTTACAGCCATAAAAATGAAGGCTTTGGGGGCACTGACTTGGCCCCTGCTTATCTCACTCAGTTTCCATCTGTTTCTTGCTCATGTCCAGGCATGCCACGGTCTTCACAACCCTGTCTTTGAACAGGGTCACTCTTGTCTGACTAATGCACTCCCACACATATGTTAAGACTTAACTCAAGAATCATTTCTGCGAAGCTTCACCCAACTCCCAGCAGTTACTCATAAAAAAAAAAATTGTCAATAAATATTCTATCATGTGGAAAAAAAAAAAAAAACCCTCTTCTACTGATTTGTAAGATGGGATTTTATACCAGACATTAAATTAGACAAAAGACTCTTAATAGGAGTAAGAAGACAGCTTAAATAGATGATTTTCCAAATCACTATGGAGTTTAAGAATTCTTTGTCCATTTCTCTTACAGTTACTATTTACTTTCTAAAGACACACATGACAGTTTACAAACTACAGTTCAAAATTTTTTTTAAAAGTAAGTTGAAGCAGAGAAACATCTATTAGGTAGTTGGGTGAGTTCATTTACTTGAGCATTGAATTTGCTAAGTTTTCTAGTGGGAAATAAAAGTTTTTAACTAGATAGAAGAAAACTTCTCAGTATCTTAAATATCTCAAAATAAAACTTGCTCTCAAAGCTATTTAAACCACATTTTATCTGATTACAAGCAACAAAATATATGGCCTCATAGTCTGTAATAATTATTTAATATTCACTTATCTTCCACATGAATAAACAGGGGATATACAAATGGATCTCTACAAAAAAAGGCATTCTTAAGAAAAATTTGGATTTAAGAGGAACAATAATAAGAAAATTTGAGGAAAAGAACACCTAAAATAGTATTTGGAGATAGGAGTGCATAAAAGCAATTGCAATATATTCTATATAAAGGGACTCATTTGTTTTACTCTTGAGCATCTAACTGTATACCAGGCCCCTTACCCATTGCCATCAAGTCGATTCTGACTCACAGTGACCCTATAGCACACAGTAGAAATGCCCATCGGGTTTCCAAGGTTGTAATCTTTATAAAAGCAGACTGCCACATCTTTCTCCCACAGAGCAGCTGGTTGTTTCACACCACTGACCTTTCAGTTAGCAGCCGAGAGCTTAACCGCTCAGCCTGCAGGGCACCTATGCATCAACTAGACACCAGGAATCCCCAAGACTCGATCAAGAAAATTTATTTAGTTTAGGAACCTATTAACTCCAACATAAAGACCATGCTACTATTAAAAAAAAAAAAAAAAAAGTTCCAAAATAAGTATTTTTGTTTCTAAAATTACTGGAGCATATAGGCATTAAACAAGGACCAAACACTTCAGTAAACAAGGACTTTAACGTTTATGCATCATTTATTTGCTTGAATGGGAAAACTACTTAAACTTGACATATTTATTCTTTACTGCATCACAGAACTATACACACAATCGTTTCCCAGTATCAATCTTATTAGTGACTAGCTATTAATCTTATTACACGATAGTAACTAGTTACTAACTTTATTAGTAATCTATGTGGAAAAAGACAAGTTAGGTGAGAGGAAAAATAGATGGCCCCCTGCCCTACTCTAATAAAAACAAAACAAAACATACACACCTTATTTGTTTCTTCCACGCTCATGGATTTCACTACACAAGAAGCTGGCCTCTCCTGCGTGTTGGCAAGGCCCTGTGGGGCACTCTGAGATGCTGACATTGGAGGCAAAGGAGCCCGCCTCTTCTTGGGTGCATCTGATGGCAGGGTGTTTGAAATATACTGTTTGGAAATGGTATTGGACCTCATGAAAGTCGGGCGAGACTTACTTACTAGAGGGGTTGCAGGAGCACTTGCAGTCTAATAAAGGATAAAAAAAAAATCTACTTATAATTTCAAGATAAAAAGTACATGCAATTAAAAAGATTTGAAGAATCTTACGAAATTCTCCATCAGAAAACAAAATACTTACTTGCTCCCGCTTTTTCTTACTGCGTTGAAAAAAGCTGAAAAATCCTTTATTTTCTTTCTCTTTCATCAGGTCTAGGTCTTGTGATATTTGGCAGGACTCTAAAACAAAAGAAAAGCACCTTGCTTTTTACGTGAGGTTTCATATTCCTTTCCAAGGCTTCATTCTATTATCTTCCCTTTAAAAAAAAACTATCGAATCATGAAAGCTACTACTTATGGTTGACTATGAACAAGAACTCTGCTAGGCACCTTATATGTAGTTATCTTATTTAATACTCAATGCAACAAGCAAACTTGGTATTTTTTCTATTTCATAGCAAAGGAAACAGAAGCTTAAACTAAGATACATACTCAGGGCTAACAACCAGGAAGTGACAGCTAGAGCAAAAACTCAGTTGTGACTCAACAGTCTGTGTTTTATATATAATGATCAACATTTCAGAAGGTTAAAAAAAAAAAAAACCAACACTTTGAATTAACTGAGATATGAACTCGCTTCCATATAGTTTGTCCCACTGTTTATTTTGAATTATACTTCCATCTCAGCGCTAAACTATCATGAAATATTCTCTAAAACATGATTTATTATAATTACTTAGTACTTTGTTAAATGTTTCATAAATGTTAACCTTTCTTAGAATCAGTGTTTCTCAACTGGGGGTAATCTCCCCCAGGGAATATGTGACAATGTTTGGGGACAGTCTGGGTTGTCACAACTGGGGGTGGAGGGACATGTGCTATGGGAATCTAGTGGGTAGGGGTGAGAGATGATGTTAAACATCCTACAATGCACAGGACAGTCCCCCATAACAAAGAGTCATCCAGTCCAAAATGTCCATAGTGCCAAGGTTGAGAAACCCCACTGGAATCAGAATGGCAAATGTCAAACCACAAAACTATATACATTATCTTTCTTCAAAAATTTTTTAAAAAGTATTTCCTAATATCCACTGAAAGAGCTTAATCCAAAAATGACAAATCCAGTAGTGCTGAGCCAGCCACAGTGGCCCAGAATGTCTCTACCATGTCCCACTAGGAGGAACAACAAATATTTGAGAGAATGCTTGATCCCTTGTATGAAGAAATGTGCGAGATGAACCTGGAACATCTTTTCATACCAGAAAGAAAGTTATCAAAGTCTACTGGGGTTGTATCAAAAGGACTCCAGAACCAATCTAGTAAGGCTTCTATTGGAAAAAGCCAGGTGAATTTGAGCATCAATAAGAATAATAAATCAATAGATTGAAATACATAGCATATATTTAAGTCAAGGTGTTCATAATGCTCCTTGTTCACCTTTGTATAATGCTAAAGAATCAACATATTATTTAAAAAACTGATGAAGGGAAAGATTTACACACGTATCCTTCCTTTTCAGAATGAATTCTACTTCATGGTAGTAAAAAAGCTGATATAAGGAAGTTTGCTTTTTAGAAATACTCTAATTAATAACTAAAGGAAAATCTGCATTAGCATGTCAACATTTTGCAACCCCTAATTAACTAAGATCTAGGCAACAATCATCAACAGTTAACAAAACACAACTAGACATTACATGCCTCTGAATAGAAGTACATAGTAGTACCTATGAAGTATTCTTGCCAAAAACATCTCAATCAAATCTGACCAAGTCTCTAGATCTAACAATCTAAGAAATAGAAAGGCGAGATGAACACATTAAGTGACACCACAAGATGTAATCAGCTAAATCCAGAATGTGAAAATCTCTATGAGACAAATGGCCTGGTTTCATCAACAAAAAGTGAAAATAGTAATTTTTTTTAAAAAGTTTCAGTCATAAGGGGTGGGATTTAAAAAAACCATTTCTACCAAGAAATACACGGGTTTTATGATAAATCACAATATCATTTCTATGACATTAGAAAAAAAGTACTAAATATAAAAACTTGTGGGAAATAGCTAAAACATAACTTAGGGGTAAATGTATAGTCTTAAGTTGTTCTATTTAAAAGAGTGTTTAAATAACCAAATAAATTATGACAAGAGCTACTCCAGGAATGCAAAGATAGTTAACACCAACAAATATATTAATTCAATATGCCTCAATAACATATTAAAGGAGAACTATATTTCACAAATAAAAAATATTCTTTATCCTGGTGTTTCAAATATTAAAAAAAAATATACATTCACACAATGAGCTTATTGACAACACTGACAATTAATTGATAATGCATATGTGAATAGCACTTTAAAGTTTTTTTTTTTTTTAACATGTTTAATTTATTTCTTACAACAACCCTGTGAGGTAGGTATCACACCAAGTTGTCATTCTGAGTCCTTTTTATAGTTTGGGGGATGCTAGCATTTACCCTAATGAATGTTGAGAAGTGGAGGCAGATGATTGTCACTGCATTAAGCATCTGAGGAACTAGACGACCAGAGTTCAAATAACGTGCACGCATTAAACGGTACAGCTAAACTAGTGTCCACTTAAAGATGATTTATAATATCTCCGATTTTTTTTTTTTTTTTTGTGGAAATGCCACTATTTCATTTTCAGATACAATACCTGTGGTGCGATGGGTTTATGCAGCCTTTCTGGTCCTGTGCTTGTAATTCTCCCAAAATGATTAACTGGGGCACAATCTGCTAAAGGATTGGTCAGTTGGCTATCTGCATAAGTGCCTTGCAAGGGACTGGTTGGTTTACAATACATGGATTGACTGGGGTGGCCCATCCGTAGTTGACCTGTACTCGAATTGGCTGGGGAAATCCACCCAGTAGCTGACCTTTAGGGAGATTAGCTGGGGGGCCTGCCCAGTGACTGATAAGAACCCTGGAATGTCAAGGTTCAGATGAGGCTTCCTGATCCAGAGTGAGGAGTGGAGAATGTCCTTTGGACATGGGGCCCTGTGTTGAGAACTGCCTAGAAAACCTATTATACAGGTCAAGGGCCGTAACACTGAGCTGGAACACTCAGTGAGCTAATAACAGTGAAGACTGAGAAACGTGGCAAGCACAGCAGAGCTGAGTGGCAGAAGAAAAGGCAGCTGCAGTAGTATGAGTGGCAGGAACCAGGAGACTGACAGACAGTAGTGGTGGGCAAAGTTGGCCCAGGTAGTGGAGCTGGGCACCCCCGGGCAGAAGGTCACCAACACAGCTGGGCACCTCTGGGCAGGAGGTCTCCAGTGGGGCAGAGGCTTGGGCATACACCATACAGGGGTTGCCAATAAAATGGTTTTGCCTTAAGAGCTGTCATCATGCCGGGACCTATCCCTGGCACTGGTGCAGGGTTGTCCCAAAGCTACTGGTTGAAAGCTGCACCAGCAAGCATAGGGGGCCGTCTTAGCCAAGAAAAGCTGCTAAGAAATAGAGAAGAAACACAGCCATACCACATCGACCTGACCTGATGACGTACCTGCTGAGAGAGAGACACCTGGTGACTTTTCGTCCACGGCTGCCCACCCAGTGACCCAGAAATGGACGTGTGTTTAACTTGGGAAGGGTGAGCAGGTTCCCATTCACCAGAAATCTGTTTCTGTTCTTTACTGTTTCTTTTCTATAATTAATCTATTCTTGTTTACTGTTTACCTTCTTTAAATAATAATAACAGTTTTCAATTGCCAACACTCTGTGTCTTGTGTCTACAACCCAATCACATCGGATACTGGAATCTATCCTAGCAGTCTCATGATTGCTTGGGCTTTAGAGGTACAACCTGTGTGTGTATGCACACACTTAGGTGCATGTACACACAGTTTAACGCCCAGTAGATAAATGTAGATATATAATTAAATTTCATTGGAACAGTAGATGGAAAATTCCCACGGTGGCACAGTGCAATAAATATAGCCAGAGTATTTTATATGGTTATTTTGTTGTTGTTGTTGTTAGGTGCCATCAAGTGGATTCGTGGTTATTTTAGGCAAAGCAATTTCCAGGCATCCTGTCATCCCCTGCACTAGTTAACGCCTAAGTTTTCACTTAATGTTCTATGTTAGGGATCACAACAACTCAGAGTTTAACAGTAAGACAATAGAGGGCTTGAGCTTACTTGGAAAAGCAACTCAAATACAGTAGTCTCCTGTTTCCAGAAGTCAAGCTAAAAACAATCACATGCGAAGTTCTAAGTATTATGCAAGCTTTCTGATAATATCAGACAAAACAAAGGGGTGGGGTACTTACAGGATGAGGACTGACCTTGTAGATTCTGACACTAAAGGAGATTTTCCTAATTTTACTCTTCTAATCGCTTAAGGTTCAATTCACAATATTTAATACTCTGAATAAACTATATACTTTATGGCTGGGAGGGTCTTACAAATCCATGCATTCAAACACTCTCAAATGATGCCCCAAAGAGACTGCAGGATTTGCCTAGCGTTACGTATCTTAGAGAGGGGCAAAATTAGGAGCAAAAGGAAAGCATGAGTAGCAGAATGTTGGTGCTAGAAAGAACCACAGAGACCACTTTTTACAACTCCCTTTATTATTATAGAAGTGGGAGGTGAGATACAGCTATTTGCTCAATCAGTTTGCCAAATTAGCTTGACAGGTAATGCAGTGTCAGAATTAAAATGCCTATCTTGTGACGCTTAACCAATATGCACCTTAAGATTTTAAGAATTTTTGACTTCTTTAATTAAGCTAGTCTTAAGAACAGTCACCAATCATAAATAATCATACTATACTTATGTATGCATAACTCTTAGAATTGACAGGCTCAGTGTACTTTGAGAGAACTGAAGTAATAAAGAAAGAAAATTCCAATAACACAAAATGTGTACAGTTTAAGCTCTTTTTAGTTGGACGGTAATTATTACAGTAATCAATTATCAGAGCCTATCCTTTTTTTAATGGGGAAAGAAGTCATCCAGAGTTTATTATTATTGTACAATTTTAATAAAGTTTTTCTCCCTTTATGAAAGTTATTACACGCCTGTTATAAAATTCTGCAATATAAAGAAGGGTGGAAAAAAAATCGCCCCTAGTCCTACACGCAAAGGTAACCACTATTAAAATTTTGATGTATTTCCTTTCAGAAATTTCATTAAAAATTTTTTACACACTGTATTAAACCCATTTATATGCTTTAAAAGATCATTTTGGCATAAGCATTCTTCCATGTTACTACAAAATATTCACAAACTATTAATGGCTGCAAAAATTTCATGTGATGAATAGACCATGATTCTTATAAATAATTCTTCAATAGAAATAATCTGAAATTCTTCCACAGTATACTACTAAACTATTAGCATTTGTATCTAGTTACAATCCTAGCAAAATCATTTTTTGAGTTTTCTCACATTCTTAGAATATCATTTTAAAATAATTATTGAAATGTAATTATTACAATTATATTAAAAAATCAAGGGGTAACCTATAAATTACTGCTTCAAAAATAAAACCGATTTTTCTAAACTCTCTCCCACAATGTACATGTTAGTAATGCTATGAAAACAGTAAAATTAGAACTTATTTTTCAATTTACCCAATACAAATAGAGATTTCATGTCACAATTTGTTGCTACTGATTCATGTGTCTTACCTCGTAAAGATGATTTATTGAAGGCAGTAACAGAAGTGTCTACAGAAGGAGGGGGTAAAAAAGGGTAAATTGACTGTAACAATGATGTTTGTTCACTATAAAACATCACTGAGTTGTAAAAGTAGTCTGTGTATTACATAAAGTCACAAATTCAGACCAAGTTTGAAGTTCCTATGCACAGTGTGTAAGTCATTGGCTCCTTCACTGAACTTTTATTTTCCCTAGTGAAACATATTTACATTAAATAAATAACCCTGCATTTGTCTGTCAGACACCATACAAACCAACATTCTCTAAGATCTCTCAGTTTTAATACATTATTTTCCATAGATTAAAACTGTAAGCTATTTCTAGTTAGAACACTTTTGGAATTAGATCGATCCTTTGTATAAGCCAGTTTATTTTGGGTGCTGATCTTAAAAAAAAAAGTCAAGAAACTTCCAGACTTGAATGATAATTAACACTCAGATAAAACTACAGTTTGTAGTAATTCACACTGGATTAGAAGAACAGAGAATTCACATGTAAACTTTCATTTCTGTTTAATTGTCAAATCCACATAGAATAAATTCCACCAAAAAAAGTTATAGGTAGATGGGAAAATGTAAAGTATGGATGACAGATAAAGTTTTCATCCCAATTTCATGAAGTGAAATCAAGTTGAATTTGTTATATTTAGTTTTCTTATTCCCAATGACATGTGTTTACTTCTATCTATGGATCCATTAATTTGCAATTAAGAATTTAAGAACACCCACATTATAAACACATATACACACACATATATTCACATCCTGTCAAATGAATAAAACAAAAAGCACTACTTACCTCTACTGACATCCATGGCATATAATTCTCTTAGACCCAGGTCATTAAGGGATTTTGTCAAGTCGAGGGGCTCCTGAGATTGATAATCCTTCAACAGCAGCGTATGTAATGGATCAAACTCACATTTGCTGCATATAATCGGGGCAAGTTCCTGAAGGGATGCGTGTGGACTAACTCTCACTACTGTCTTCTGTGTTTTCTTAAAATTGATCACTACTCTCACAGTTTTCTGAAACACAGATTAAAGCTATAGTTATACCATAAAATATGTATTGACACAAACTGACAGTTTACAATGTTGTCCAGAATAATGAGATGATATAGAATCACGTATTTGTACAATACAGAAACAGCACTTTTCTATCTTGGTGTAAATGTTTTTTTATTAATATTACTTCCTATATCCAAAGCAAATTCTTACAAACAAACATTAGTTAGCTTAATAAAATAATCTGGATTAAATTCACAACCCTTGTATAGTAAAATATTACGTAGATTTAAATCCTAGGCCTCCTTTTTTAAGTCAGTTATTGATCCTTGGATTAACTAGAATTTGGGAGAATATTTTAGATTTTAGATGACCTTAAAGCGACCTATATAACTGTCTTAGAGTCTGACAATTATGAATGACTATATTTTAAGCCTTTTATAATTTTAATGTAATTTAATTAAATCATGTTTTATAACTTACAAATGTGAACATACTAAGTGAAATCTACAGTTTGCAAATCCTCTAAGTAAACATTTATAAAGCCAAAACCCCACATATAATCCTCTGCTGTCACCTAAGTAAAAATATTTCCATCTAGACAAACAGTATACTTATCTAGAGGGAAAACAGTCCAATATCCTAATTAATACTTAATAGCACATTGTAGAAAGCAAATATGTTTTAATATAGTAAAAAAAAAAAAAAAACAAAAAAAACCTGTCAACCCTTTTGTAAAAAATTCATAATATGAGAATATATGTACTCAACTTGTAAGTAAATGAACTAGCAATTAAATATATAAACTTTTATATATTTTATGAAATGAAAACTGATTGATACTGTTTATAATGAGAGTATTTCTTGAAATCCATAGACTTCCACTCTTATTGTCTATGGCAGCTAAGCATTTTATAGAGAAAAAAGAACTGATGATATTAGAATCATTGGGGTTCAAAATTTTCACTTCAGATTTATACATTAAATAAAACTGAAAAACTATAGTTCAAACTAACAATAATGTAGAAGTTAGTAACTTATAACCATAGTTTACCAAGTATAGAGAAACAATAAAAAATTAATACATTTTAGAATTCTAAAACCTTTTAAATGCTTTTTTAAAGAATAGCTTAAAATATAGTCATTCATAATTGTCAGACTCTGAGACAGTTATATAGATCACTTTAAGATCATCTAAAATCTAAAATACTCCCCCAAATTCTAGTTAATCCAAGGATCAATAACCAACTACATCCTAAAAAAAGGTGGCCTAGGAAATCGTATTGTTCACATAAAATTTGACCAGAAAAATCAGTTTTTAATTGATTTACAACGAAATGCAGATGACCGAAAAATCAACTTATAATATTTTAGCTGTAAAATATCAAAATCTGCAGTGAAATTCTTACCTCTGGTATTATAGGTGTAGGTTTTTTCTTATCCAACACTTTTGGCTTTAAAATTACCTTCTCCACTTCCAACATTCCTATTGGTGTGTTTGGCTTAAATTTAATGGGGTTCTTTTCAGCTGACAGCACATCAATTGTGTAGCTTGATGGATTTAAGTGATACTGTGCACACAGGAATATCAACAAGTCCATCATAGGTTTACTGTAAAATAAGAGTAATGGTAATCATAAAGGCCCATAAAACATAAAAGAAGCTTAAAAACATGACTATAAGGTATTTAAGCATACAAAATTATAATAGTTAAAAAGCTCTCAATAGTATTCAAGGGAACTTGGGGTCTAGTGTTGGTTCAACAATTAACTGTATTTTTTTCCTATCTGCCAAATGGTCTTCATGTTATAAACTTCAGGAAGAGGAGAAGCTGTAGAAGTCCCTTCCTTATCCAAGGGCAGTCAATTAGTTCAGCAGGTGCTCCTTCACAATATTATTTGGAATACTGGCAGTCTTTAGCTTATAAGTAGGTTACATTAAAAGCTCCTTTAAGAGTAAAGTATATGAAACAACAGCAAAAACCACCTCGCTTCAGAATAGCTTAACATAGTGCTTATCTACCAGAGTAAACACACAAAATCCTGAAGAACAGTGTAATACAGATTTTTTAATTCATTCAAACTATGTTTATTTAATATTTGCTACATAGTACAAGTGATATAGCAAACCTGTCCTAGTGGGGCAGTGGCTAAAGTGCTCGGCCGCCAACCAAAAGGTTGGCGGTTCCAACTCACCAGGCGCTCCTTGGAAACTCTATGGTGCAGTTCTACTTTGACCTACAGGGTCGCTATTAGTTGGAATCGACTCGACAGCAGTGGATTTAGTTTTTGGCTTTGGCTCTCATAGAATTAATACTTTACTGCGTGGATTAGACCAAGGTTTGGCAAACTTAAACCTGTGGATCAAAATAGACCCACAGTCTATTTTTGTAAATAAAGTTGTATTGGAACACAATCATATCCACTTGTTTATGTATGTTTTATGTCCATATGTTCATATGTCTATGGCTGCTTCTGTGCTACAATGGTATACTTGAGTAGGATGCCACATCGACTGTATGTCCCACAGAACCTAAATGATTTACTCTCTGATCCTTGATAAAGTTTATGGGCCCTTGTGCAAGACGATAAACAAGTAACCAAGTAAATGCATGAGATCATAGTGATTCAGTGCTAAATACTAATGGCAATACAGAACCTATTTCCAAAGGAAATTGTATACCCAACTTGAGATTCAGGGATACTTCCCAATTTTTGCTTCCCTTTCTAAAGACTCCAATGGATGATCCAGGTTTGTGTTTTCATTCATACCATGAATGGAGCAATGTGGTCTCCAGTCTTGCTTAATTGTCAGCCCTTAAAGAAAGCACCCTAGATCTTTTATATCATATGCTTTCCTCAAATGTCTGGTGATCCTAAACTGTTAGTTCATATTTAAGACTGAGACACTAAAACACTCTTTAAAAGTCATATTTTCATGGATGGTAGCTGATGTTGGCTGGTGAGCTTTACTTTAAAATCATCACTTGGACAGCCAGTTTTTTTTACTGAAAAACCTACACATCAGTAAAAATGTTTCTCCAATTTCCTGACTGGAGATATGAAACTAACAACTGGCTTTCAGGAACTTTACAGGCAATGAGGTCAGGCATTTCATCATCAGCATGCAATTTTTAATTTGATGTATCTTTTTTCATATGGCACCTCACACCCATTATCCTAGCTAGGGTTCACAGGACTGAAGCCTCCCTGGCTCCTTGGCTCCAGAGTTTTTCTATCAGGGGTAGGGTAGCATTAGTTGTCTGAAGTTTTGTAGACTTGAGTTCAAATAACACTTTGGGTAGACTTTCAAACCATCCCGTGTGTTCAGCTCTCTAACTGAACCTCCCCTTCTGTTGTTGTTTCCCATTCCTGGGCCATTCCAGTATCTATAGCATAAAGAGGTATGTTTCTTAATGGTACTCTCATTTCCCTTCTCCTCTCCCACATACATGTGTTGTTGTTCTTAGATGCCGTTGAGTTGGTTCTGACTCATAGCAACCCTGCGTGAAAGACAATGAAACAATGCCCAGTCCTGGCCATCCTTACAATTGTCTCATGCCTGCATCTTTGCAGCCACTGTGTCAATCCATCTCGTTGAGGGTCTTCCTCTTTCTCCCTGACCCTCTACTTTACCAAGCATGATGTCCTTCTCCAGAGACTGCTCCCTCCTGTTAACATGTATAAAGTACCTGAGACAAAGTCTTGTCATCCTCACTTCTAAGGAGCATTCTGGCTGTACTTATTCCAAGACAGATTTATTTGTTCCTCTGGAAGTTAATGGTACATTCGATATTCTTCACCAACACCATAATTCAAAGGCATCAATTCTTCTCCGGTCTTCCTCATTAACTGTCCAGCTTCACATGCATATGAGGTGACTGAAAATACCATGGCATGGGTCAGGTACACCTTAGTCCTCAAAGTGACATCTTTGCTTTATAATACTTTAAAGAGGTCTTTTGAGCAGATTTGCCCAATGCAATGTGTCATTTGATTTCTTGACTGCTGCTTCCACGGGCGTTGATTGTGGTCCAAGTAAAATGAAATTCTTGACAACTTCAATATTTTCTCCATTTATCATGATGTTGCTTGTTGGTCCACTTGTGAGAATTTTTGTTTTCTTTATGTTGAGGTATAATTCATACTGAAGGCTGTGTCTTTGATCTTCATCAGTAAGTGCTTCAAGTCCTCTTCACTTTCAGCAAGCAAGTTCGTGTCATCTGCACATCACAGGTTGTAAATGAGACTTCCTCCAATCCTGCTTCTGAGATTATTTGCTCACCATACAGACAGAATAAGTATGGTAAAAGGATACAACCATGATGTACCCCTTTCCTGATTTTATACCATGCAGTAAGTATCCCCTTGTTCTGTTTGAACAACTGCCTCTTTGATCTATATACAGGTTCCTCATGAACACATTTAAAGTGTTCTGGAATTCCCATTCTTTGCAATGATATCCATAATTTGTTATGATCCACACAGTCAAATGCCTTTGCATAGTCAATAAAACACAGGTATACATCTTTCTGGTATTCTCTGCTTTCAGCCAAGATCCGTCTGACATTAGCAATGATATCCCTCGTTCCACATCCTCTTCTGAATCTGGCTTGAATTTCTGGCAGTTCTCTGTCAATGTACTGCTGCAATCGCTTTTGAATGATCTTCAGCCAAATATTACTTGTGTGTGATGTTAATGATATTGTTCGATAATTTCTGCATTCTGTTGGATCCTCTTTCTTTGGAATGGACACAAATATGGATCTCTTCCAGTTGGTTGGCCAGGTAGCTGTCTTCCAAATTTCTTGGCATAGATGAGTGAATGCCTCCAGTGCTGTATTCATTTGTTGAAACATCTAAATTGGTATTCTGTTGATTCCTCAACTCTTGTTTTTTTGCCATTGCCTTTAGTGCAGCTTAGACTTCTTCCAACCATACCATCAGTTCTTGATTATATGCTACCTTCTGAAATGGTTGAACATCAACCAGTTCTTTTTGGTACAGTGACCTGTCTATTCTTTCCATCTTCTTTTAATGCTTCCAACATCGTTCAAAATTTTGCTCATAGGATCCTTTAATATTGCAACTTGAGGCTTGAATTTTTTTCTTCAGTTCTTTCAGCTTGAGATATGCTGAGCGTGTTCTTCCCTTTTGGTTTTCTAACTCCACTTTGCATGTTCCATTATAATGTTACTTTATCTTTGTCTTCTTGAGTTGCCCTTGAAGTCTTCCGTTCAGCTCTTTTACTTCATCAATTCTTCCAATCGCTTTAGCTGCTCTACATTCAAGAGTAAGTTTCAGAGTCTCTTCTGACACCCATTTTGTTCTTTTCTTTTTTAATGAACTTTTGCTTTCTTCATGTATGATGTCCTTGATGTCACCCCACAACTCATCTGGTCTTCAATCATTAATGTTCAATGCGTCACATCTATTCTTGAGATGGTCTCTAAATTCAAGTGGGATATACACAAGGCCATATTTTGGCTCTCGTGGACTTGTTTTAATTATATTCAGGTTCAACGTGAATTTGCATATGAGCAATTGATGGTCTGTTCCTCAGTTGGCCCCTAGCCTTGTTCTGACTGATGATACTGAGCTTCTCCATTGTCTCTTTCCACAGATGTAGCTGATTTGCACCCCATATACATATACAAAAAAAGTAAATAAATCAAAGACTCTGAAGCTCATCAGTAAAAAAGGTTCTCCTGAATATGCTTCAGTCTTCAAAATCCTTCTCTATGGCTTTATTTGATACTTGCACAATAATATTCAGGGCTCTTGTGTCCTTTTCTTAAGCTACATAGGCTGTCCACACATAACTTTGTCTATAATTTTGCAAATTGTGGCTTTGGAAAGTATATTTGAAATTTCATCCAGAGGGACACTAGCATAATGGTCTTATTGAAGTTTATTTTTTGGTAATACAGTATTCTACGGGAGCAATTTAACAGTACATACCAACTCTAGTCTTAGAAATAGTACCTGCTTTCTCTGACAGTAAATAAAGTTGAAAAGGATTAGGTAATGTCTAAGAATATAAAATGTAATTATAAATACAATCAAGCTGGAAAATGAGAGAACTTTTATTGCCAACGATATGGATAGCTGTCCACTGCTGTGTATGAGTAATTGGTGACATGGGCAGATTGTGATGTTTCTCTTTCTTTCTCTATATGAATGTGTCAAGTAATAAATGTAAAACCACTAAAGCTTACATTTCAAACATCTTTTACTTCTTAAACCTACAGTTCTTTAGAATTTCTGCCAGATATACATAATAAAAGTTAACAAGACAAAAATAGCCATTAAAGTTTTGTTTTTGCGTTTGTTTCATTAATCCTTATTTTTGTGCCATCATGTTTCATTCTCCTACGTACAAATATACAGACATTTAAGGGAAAATATTTTTTTCCATTTCTAAAAGGTAAGAACAATCTAACCCTCTCTATATATCTTCTTATTAACCCTTTTGATATTTCTTAATGAACTGTTTTATTTCTAACTATAATACATTAAGCGCCTAATTTAACCAATGGGGTGATTAACAGGTAAAAAATATTATAACAATGGCCTATTCCTTCAGTCTATTTGGTCATATATAATCTTTAC